ATCCACCATGTTTCTTGTGTGCGTCTATTTTACGCCTGATTCCTCGCTGTCTGTCTGTCGGATTATCCAATCTGCTGCCCACAATCAGGAGAATCATTGTAGATAGTAGCCAGACAGCCAACGAGTCTTGTCTTGCTCCCATCTTCATTTCAGAGGATTCCGTGAGTTTCCCGTTGTGGATTACTTGGCATGCAGCATTGTCGTACAACTGTTGGATGAGATGTATAATTACCGGTGGCACCCCGTAGTAGTGGAGTAGTTTCCAAATCACCTCTCTTATGAAACTGTGCTATCGAAGGCCTTTTCGAAGTCTATGAAGTTGAGTGGGGCAGAGAGCTGACTGCCATTTTCAAGCTCTGTTCAATGATGACCCGTTTTGTTGCAATCTGATCGATGCATGACTTGTTCTTCCTAGTTTCAGCCTGTTCCGGTCGAAGGTTTTAGTCCAGGTCGGCGTATTTGATTTTTTCCAGGATGATTATTATTTATTATTATTATTGTATCCTTTAGTTCCTAGAGGAACATAGGGCTTCAGCTGCGCACCTCCATTGACTTCGGTTTTCTGACAACTTTTTCACCCTGCTCCAGGTCTGCCCACATGCTTTCATCTCCTCTTCACATGACCTCCTCCAAGTCACCCTTGGACGACCAACTCGCCGCCTCCCTTTCGGGTTCCACTCGAGGGCTTGTCTAGTGATGTCACTTGATGGTTTCCTCAGCGTATGGCCAATCCATCTCCATTTCTTTCTGCCTATTTGTTTCACAATCGGTTCCTGATTGGTTCGCTCCCAGAGATCCCTGTTGCTGATCTTTTCTGGCCATCTGATCTTGAGTATTGAGCGGAGACAGTTGTTAATGAAGGTTTGAAGTTTGTTTGAGATGCTCTTTATGACTCGCCAAGTCTCTGATCCGTATAGTAGCACTGACTTCACATTGGAGTTGAAAATCCGGATCTTATTTTTGATGCTGAGTGCTGTTGACCTCCACACAGATTTGAGAGTAATGAAAGCTTGTCTTGCTTTTCCGATTCTGGCTTTGATGTCTTCGTCAGTTCCGCCTGTAGTTGAGACGATGCTTCCCAGGTAGGTGAAGGAGGTTGTTTCTTTCAGGTTCTTCCCATTTATGCTTATTGTGGTCTGTTGTTGCTGTTGATGTTGGCAAGGAATCTTCATCATCTCTGTTTTATCTATGTTCACGTGAAGTCCTATCTTTGATGCTTCTTCTGCCAACTTGTTACTTTTCATTTGCATATCTTCCAGTTTATGGGAAATCAGACATATATCATCGGCGAAATCCAGATCCTCCAAGTCTTTTGTGTCAGTCCATTTTATGCCTGTTCCCTCGTTGGTTGCCGTTGTCTGTCGCATTATCCAATCAATTGCAATCAGGAAGATCATTGGTGATAGTAGACAGCCTTGCCTCACTCCCGTCCTCACTTCGAAGGCTTCCGTAAGTTTCCCGTTGTGGATTACTTGGCATGCAGCATTGTCGTATAACTGTTGGATGAGGTGTATAATTGTCAATGGGACCCCGTAGTAGCGAAGTAGTTTCCAAATGACCTCTCGATCGACGCTGTCGAAGGCCTTTTCAAAGTCGATGAAGTTGAGATAGAGAGGTGACTGCCATTCCAAGCTTTGTTCAATGATGATCCGTAGAGTGGCGATTTGATCAATACATGATTTGTTTCTCCTGAATCCAGCCTGTTCCGGACGAAGTTTTTCATCTAGGGCTTGTTTGATTCTCTCCAGGATGATGCGACTTAGTATCTTGCTTGGAATGGACAGAAGCATAATTCCACGCCAGTTTTTACATTGACTTAAGTCTCCTTTCTTTGGAAGTTTGAATAAGTAACTGTTCTTCCAATCCTCGGGTACTTTGCCCTCTTTCCACACCTTCTCCAGTAGTGGTGTCATCAAGTCCGCTGTTGTCTCTGGGTCTATTTTCAAAGCCTCTGCTGGGATTCCATCTGGTCCCGGTGTTTTCCCAGTTTTAAGCATCTTGATTGCATTCAGGACTTCTGATAAGTGACAATAAATTCATGATATCATTTTACGTATCTTCCTTATTCACCAATGTACCACTTATGGAAACAGTGAACTTTGTATTCGAAGAACTGATAATACGAAACATTGATGTTGGCATTCTCACATCTTTTATGAAAGAGCTTCTCTAGAAATGCACAATGAATGCCCGCTTTTTATTTCATAAGGAACTATATAGACAAATTGACGGTGTGACAATGGGGTCACCATTAGGACCCATTCTAGCCGACATTCTCCTTGCGAAACTAGAAAATGGGCCTCTGAAGGATGTTATTAATAAACTCGGATTCTGTGGTCGGTCCACGGATGATACATTTTTGATTATGAAGAATGAGAAGGAATCAAAGAGCATCCTGGATAAATTTAATGAGGTACATCCTGCAATAAATTTTACTATTGAGAAAGAAAAAGTCTCTAGTATTTTATTTTTTTGACGTCTTTACGGCTAGAAAAGAGGATGCCACAATAAGACGAAGTGTTTATAGAAAACCTACACCAACGGGTCAGTATACTCATTTTCTCAGCTTCGTTCCCTTGAAATACAAACGCAGTCTGATAAAGTCCTTGGTCAATGGAGCGAGAGCAGTCTACTCGGATGAATGTCTTGGTGAGGAACTTAGTAACATTAAACGGTTGATAAGTGAAAAGGGTTATATAGGAAAGTTTATTTATAAGAACATGAATCTAAAATCAAAGCAGTTCAAGGTATCAACAGTTTCTAAAAAGGCCTTATTCTTACAACTTCAGTTCCTCGAGGATAACACCAGAGAGGTATTAACACAACGCCTTAGGAATGCGGTAATAAGAGCATTCCTCACTGTTGAATTACTTTGTGTCTTCAAAACTATCCCTATTTTGCGTTCGGAAGTAAAAGACGAACTGCCAAATTTCGCCTCTTCCATCTGTATCTACCAATTTAACTGCTCCTGTGGAGTGAGCCAGTTACATAGGCCGTAAAATTAGGCGTGTTCGGCGTAGAATTTCCTAACATCACTCTGCGTGATTGTTTAAGCAAAGGACAAACAAAATCTATTCGCAGTGCTATTCTATCTCACTAATCTTGTAAATACAGAATACAAGATTGACGTTAACCATGCTTTCAGAGTAATTTACCACATACCTACGAATCTCAATTTCACCTTAAGATTTCGACTACTAAATATTGCTGAGGCTGGCTGTTGGAATCCATATTAACAAGCCTAAGTAATGCATCCAAAAGAAGTTAGTTCAGACATTATCCTCACCTGCTTGGTTATCTAGGTTTGAATGATCCTGAATTTTTGTGGAATTTATCTGATTTTAGTTGACATTCTATTAGCTAATATATCTTTAATATTATTATAATTTAAGCAACTTTAGTGAACTGTGATTCCACTGATCTTACTTCACGAATCGATATTATTCAAAAAAACACTAACATTGTTATAGACTACTAAACTAGAATATTCTATGAATATAAACATATATATATATAAGTGTTGGTTTGTAGGGATTTGACTGGTTTCAGGATTTCATCATGAGCTGACATTAGTTAGAGAACCATTGAAAAACCTGAGAATACTGGACAGCTGTTTCGTCCTAGTTTGCGACTCTTCATCAGTACGTACCCACCACTATAAGGCGAGCTCATATACCGTTAAGCCACCGGGACCCGATCCAGTCGCCTACGAATTCTAACTTCTGCCAATTCACGACATAGCGCAACCCCTAGTCAATGTCTTCTGTGGCGAGTATTTGTCCTCACACCCAACCTGCTGCACCTTACTGGTCACGATTTCTCACTAGAACCCCAGGTAACTACTACCTACCTGAATAGGGCAAGTCGCTAGTGACTAACTAATGTTAGCTCATGATGAAATTCTGAAACCAGTCAAATCCCTACAAACCAACACTTAAATACCAATGAGATGCTCACTGGCGACTGGCCCTATTCAGGTAGGTAGTTACCTGGGTTCCAGTGGGAAGTCGTGACCAGTAGGGTGCAGCCGGTCGGGTGTGAGGACAAATACTCGCCACAGAAGACATTGGCTAGCGGTCGCGCTATGTCGTGAATTGGCAGAAGTTAGAATTCAAGGACCATTGGATTGGGTTCCAGTGGCTTAATGGTATACGAGCTCGCTAGCCTTGTAACCGGAAGGTCCTGGGTTCGAACCCTGGTGGTGGGTACATACTGCTGAAGAGTCCCAAACTAGGCTGACGAAACAGCTGTCCAGTACTCCCAGTTGGTTTTCCAATGGTTCTCTAACTAATGTCAGCTCATGATGAAATCCTGAAACACATATATATAATTAGTCAGTGTCAAAATGTCAATGGGGTGGTAATTAACGAAGAAAAATTAATATGTATAATTAAAAGGTAGAAATGGTTACAACACGTGGATTGCATAATGCATAATTTAGGAAAAATGAAGAGCAATTAAGGAATAAGCGTTTGTACAAGTTGATTACGTAACAGACTGTTAAATAAAATAAAACAATTTGGACAATGACAATTTGTAACTAAAGTTGAAGTGGTCATAAGAATAAAATAATTTTTACAAGGATAACACGTAATTAAAGATGAAGTAGTCAGAAAAATAAAATAATTTGGACAATTATAGTTTTTAAAAAGAAAAATATTTTAGGGGGAGAGGGATGAGGTAGTCCGGCTTATACAATCATGTAACGATGGTCAAGGTAAGGAAAGTAGCTGTACAAATTTCTTCTGAACACACAAGTTTGGCTTGTAATATGGCCACTGGGTTCGAATCCCAGTGGGTGCGTACTGCCGATGATTCCAGGATGATACAATTTAGTATTTTGCCTCGGATGGACAGGAGCATTTCAGTAAATAAAGTAAAATACAAAAGTCATAGCTAATCAAATAATAATAATTAATTACGATTGGAATAAATGTATAAAATGCACTAATTTATTCACCTATTCATTGTTACTTCATATTCTTGCCTTTGCACTTTAGTTCATTATCTAATCTACTGAATAGTAGAAATAGCATGAAGACAGCTCCAGTACAAGGATCTATATTCTCCGGTTATTTACGTATATCAGCTAAAGAACAATTAGGTGATACATTTGTACAACCAATAAATTTTACTCGTGTAAGTTTAAAACTTATTTTAATTGTTTTATGTTTGATAAAATTGTTGCATTTTGTTGCTTTGCTCTTCTTCTTCTTCTAATACTCATTACAGGGCGTTCGTGTTTCAGCGATAGAACGCTTGCCAACCACTCAAATGATCCGTGGTTCGATCCCTCTTAAATCTCATCAAGGCGGAAGTAACGCCGGTAGTTTCGGAAGGTAGAGCATGGGGCTAGCAACCCCATCCCGTAAAAATAAACACCACTGCTACCAAAACTTCAAACCTCTAGGCTGTAGGCCTATGTTCCACTTGGAACGTATAGGAATACAGACAAAGCCATAAGAAGACGTAATTTTTCTGAATCGCGTAATGTATTTACGTAACACATTTAGAAAAATCTGATCACACAAGGACTTCTCATAGGAATGTATATATGAAATTAATAAAGCGTTAAAAAGTAAGAAAATGCACTAAGGTCAAGTTAAAAGGACATACTGAAAGTCCAAATAACAATGAAGATGGCTAAACCAAATAACAGAGGTAAAAATACATCTGCTATGGTATTCAAACGAAGTTTACCAACGAAGTTTTAGTGTGATGACAAGTTGTTGCTTTGATCGCATAAAGATGGTTTAAACTTCCTAACTGCTAGCCAGAACTTCCACAAACTTTAGGATACGCTCCAAACCCGTTTTATAGATAGGTTTAAAAGATGTATAAACATCAATTTTATATCCTGTCTCTATAATATGTTTTGAAATCGATCAGGTAGGTCATCTGTTTTCACTATTATTGTGTTCTGGGGATTCTATTTATTCCTGAGTCATTTAGGCATATGTTCAGAAGCCCTTACTTTCAGAAATTGGTGAGTCCTCCCTATGTAAATGCCGCCACACGTACATTCAAATTGGTAAGTACAATGGGATGTGACATTATTTTTCGCATGTTCAAAGGGCTTCGATAGCAATACAATAAATAAATGCACTCATTGCAATCATATATGCATCTATGTATACATTACATATTTATACAGGTATGTTTCTATTTGAAAAGTCTTCATACCTTATTAGACAGATGACAGGGAAAAATAGCCAAAAAAACCCGGCTGATTACGTATTAGCTAATCAATGCATATGCAGAAGAAAATGCAAATGGATTACACATCCATTTGAGAAGAACTTCAAATGACAATACACGCCCAAAAGCGGAATCCACTTGTCGGCTATAGATCCGATGATGACATGGAGGACATCATATTAAGTAAAAATAAAGGTTTGTCAGTAGTTGTGCAGCCTGCTGAAAGCGACGACCTATAACCAAATAAGATGAGAGCTAGCTGGTAGACCACTGGGACCTGACCCGATCCAGTGGCCAACCAGACCATAAATTCTAACTTCTGCCAATTCATAACATAGCGCAACCACTTCTCAATGTCTTCTCCGATGAGTTACTGCCACATCTTCAACCTGGTGCACCCACAAGAACCTCAGGTCACTACTACCTACCTGAATAGGTCCAGTCTCTGGTTCCAATGGTTCTCTTACTGTTATCAGCTCATGATGAAATCCTCCTTCAACCAATCAAACCAAATCCCAACAAAACCAATACCTGAAGATTATACAATTAGTAGAACATGTTAATCAATTTGTCAACTTAACCGCTCGAGGTCACTTATCTATAGGTTACGTTATAGGAAATATAACAATGACACCAATAATTCTTTCCATAAATGGGGTCAAGGTCACAGGTGGTAGTAGTAGCAGCGATAATAGTGATAATGATGGTGATGATAGCATGTTATGTGGCGTTTATTTAGCCTATAAAACGTTTGAAGTAAACCCTGCTCGCGATAACATCAAAAGGAAAAGAAAATTTTTTCTTCTGTTCATGACCTTATTGAGTAGACACGTTTTTGACATTTTTTACTGGTGATTATAATTCTTATGCAAGAGAGATTAGGTTTAAATGAGTTGTAGAGATAGTTGAATTATTGGACAGTTTGTTGGTTGACTGTATGCAGAAATCGTTATGGATTAGTTATTTTGCCACAATGAAGTTATATTTTATTTTTTTTATTTTTGATTATAGCTTGATTCCACACTGTATTTTTGGTACAAGTATGGAATTTTCAGCGTGGATATCGGTAGCCCAAATTTCGCAGGCCGACCATAGATATCAGGTGTGCGTCGGCTAGGGCCAGAACCCGGACCATGTGCATGGTCAGCGAGACTCCTAACCACTGTGCCACCGACCCAGTCTGACTCCTTCCTCACAAAAATGTGTAAGCAATAATTATTGCTGGAGGATTTCATCATGAGCTGACATCAGTTAGAGGACCATTGGAAAAAACCAGCTAGGAATTACTGGACAGCTGTTTTGTTCTAGTTCTGGAACTGGTTGGCAGTAATCCCTACAAAAATCAATATTTGATCAACAATTTCAAGAAAAGAAGAGAAGAAATGTGATTTGAAATGAGTGAGAAGACAGAAATACGCTACACCGATGAAAAGACTGTAGAAGATCTGGATTTCGCAGCGGATGATATGTCTCTGGTATTAGACTGTGGTATTAAAATATGTTTACCACAATCAGAGGTTTTTCATCCTCATGAATTGATGTGTTATATAGTTGGAGGTCATCTACAAGCATTCCTGGAACTAGCACTCGTCATTAAGATGTTTAAGCAATCTCGTAGCAACTGGATGATCTCTCACTTGTTCTCTGAGATTCAAACCGGCATCATCCCGTGCTATATTTCAAAAAGATTTTCATTACTAGTGATCTATTATAGTAGATTTCTGAGATTGATGAAGAAATAACTCCCTTGATCTTCAGTGATCCTATAACTAGAGACAATTAGCAATCAAACTTGAATTTAAGAAAAATTCCTGCAAACCAAAACTAGATAATAAATTCACTGCTGACCTATGACTGTGATGTTCCTATTTCTAGTGGACTGGAATGTGGAATAGTGTGAGTGGGCAGATAGAGAGAAGACAAGAATACGTTGCATTAATAAGGAGACACTGCAGCGTCTGGATTTTGCGGTGAATGATTTATGTCTGATGCCACACAGACTCAAAGACTCGCAGATGAAAACGAACAAGCTGGCTGAAGAAAGCAGGCAGGCAGAGATGACTGTACTGCAAGTGGACACAGAGAAGACGGAGGTAATGAAGATGACCAACCAACCAACGTAAAAATAACAGGCACCAATCACCATCAACAACAAAATAAATTTGAATGAGGTCTAAGAAGCATCGTTTGAACTACCTGAGGATGTCAAAACCAGTAAGGATCAGAAAGGCAAAACACAAACCTACATCACTCTGAAATCGGCTGAGAAATCTTCTGTACCAGCTTAACACAAGAAACAAAATCCCGATTTTCAACACCTATATTAAGCCAGTCTGTCGAAAATGGTGCCGCGTGCGCTACGAAAAGCACTTCCAAAAAAGTGTAGAGTTTCATCGCCAACGATGCTTGGCTGTGAAGGGAATGCCGAGAAAATACATTGCACTGATTAAGGCACTCTAGTCGAGCTCATGCAGCCAGGTGAGGGCTTACGGCGATTTGTCATCTGAAATGGTGACGACTAGAGGTATCCCTCAAGGATGCCCATTTTTCCCATTTCTATACCAATTCATCATAGATGCACTGATGGACTTAACCCTAACTCACTTCAGCGACTCAAAAATTGACCTTTTGCCATCAGGGAATAATCTCGTCGACTTAGAATACGCAGATGATGTAGTCCTTCTAGGCGAGGACGCTGACAAAATGCAGAGTCTTCTGAACACCTTGACAGGCTGCAATCTACGAATGTTTGGCATGCGATTCGCTCTCGCCAAATGCAAGATGATGTTACAAGACTGCACTACACTGACTCCTAGTTTAGAAATAGGGAGTGAAGTGGTAGAGCACGTTAACCCTTACACTTATTTAGGAAATGCGGCAGCCAACGCCAGTGGGTTGATCTCTGACGAAATATCAGAACGGATACAGAGGGCTAGTTTTGCATATGCTAGTTTACGCCGTCTCTGGCTTAGTAGACGTGATAATAAGGCTTTCGACCAAAAGGCGTGTGTACTGCTCAGCAGTCCGCTCCGTCTTCATTTATTACTGGGAAAGAGACCTGGCCATTGAGAGTGGAAGACTTGAAAAGATTAGCTAGCTGTCTTTGATCATAGGTGTGTGCGTTCTATCTCCCATGTGAAGTGGTATAATAAGGTAAGAAATATTGAGGTTAAGCATTGGTCGATTGCTAGGTAGGTGGGAGGGGAAATCAATCGACGAGGCTGTGAAATTACATCGACTGAGATGGCTAGGACATGTATTATGTATGCTTTGTTATCGCCTACATCGACAGTGGGTAATGTTAGCTGACATAGGGTCAGGCTAGAAAACCTCTAGTGGTGGTCAAACCAAAACATGGATTCATCAGTCAATGAAGTTCACAAGAGTTAGTTTAAGCTTCGTAGGAAGGTGTTGACTTTGTCACTGGTTGGGGTCCTAGAGACAGTGAAAATCAATGAAGGCTGGAAACAATCAGTGATATGTCTCAAAATCGTTCTTAATGGCTGGTGCAGATGCATCCACTCCTTGTGACCAATGATTTCCAATGAAACTATATTGTTCTTCGTTAATACTATTCCTTTGTCTCACACCACCGTTTGCTGTCTCTATTATTCATTCCTTCTACCTTCTTCTATTGCTTTGAGTGCTACATGGAGTGTGGCGACTTGAAGTGATGCAAATCGGTGCAAAGTTCTATGTCGAAGACAGACAGACAACGATAAGGGATGACGAACAAAGTTCAGGGGAGAGAACTATATGAAGGTATCTAACACTTCACCTAGTTTTTATTTCAGTGCCCTCTACTATGTTACAAGTATCTTGTAAATAGGTGTATTTTCACTATACTCACTTGATTTAAGTGAAACGATAGACTCGTCAATAGAGACATTAAAACCTCAGTTCCTTTTTTTTCTATTGATTATGGCACTTACATAGATTGT